GCGCGATCGGCCCGTGTCGCGTAACCGAAAAGGCGTTCCAGTCGCCTGGTGCTCTCGGGGGCCTTGGCGTCAAAACGGCGTCCGTCGTTGGGCCGTCCCAGGCGGTCCTCTGGGGACCCTCTTGGGTGTTTCGGGGCCCTCCTGGCTGTGCTGGGGCCCTCTTGGGGCCGTCTTGGGTGGGCTGGGTCCGTCTTGGGGCCCCGTCTTGGGGCCCTCTTCGGCCCTCGTGGCGGCCCCTCCGAAGGCTCTCTTGGGAGCCTCTCGGCCCACTCTTGACTTGTCTTGGAACTCTTCGGCCGTCTCGGAGGTCCTCGAAGCAATAGTCGGCCGATCGGGGCCCGAAACGGCGATACCCCAAACATCGATGACATGCCTCAGAGGGACACGATGCAGATTGCCTCCTCATGCCGTCTTGGGGGTCCTCTTGGGGGCCTTCTGGGCCGTCGGCGTGGGCCGTCTGAGGCCCTCTTCGCGGCCTCGTATGGCCCTCTTGGGGTTCTCTTGGGAGCCGCCTGGCCCCTCCCGGGCTCTCTGTGGCCGCCGTGGGGCCCTCTTGGGCGTCTTGGGGCCCCTCGTGGGCAATCTCGGAGGCCCTCGGTGCCGTCTTCGGCCGATCTGGGCCCGAACAAGCGAGCAAGCGAGCATCCCAAAAACAGTATTGGGCATCAGTATTTGTTGCCTCCTTAGGCCGTCTGGGGGGTCCTCTTGGGAGGCTCTAGGGCTGTCCTGGTGGCCGTCTTGGGCTGCCTCGGGCGGCTTGGGCCGTCTTGGGGCCCTCTTCGGCCCTCTTGGGGTTCTCTTGGGAGCCTCTTGGGCCCCTCTCGGCCCCTCTTGGGGCCCTCTTGGACTGTTTTGGGGCTCTCTTGGGCCGTCTTGGGGCCCTCCTGGGAGCCTTATGGGCCGTCTTGGGCGATCTGTCAGGCCTATCGGGGCGTCTCCTCTATCGAGCCGTCTGGGAGCCCTATTGGACCTCTCTTGTGCCGTCTTGGGGGCCTCTTGGCTGTTTTTTGAAGCAGGAAGGAGGAAGAGGAGGTGGAGGAGCCTCCTGCAATCTTGGGGTGGGTGTGCAGCGCGTGTTGTGCCGGGCCAGTCGCGCTCCGCCCCTCCCTTTGGAACCCATCCGCAGAAGAAACCTCATCACTCATACCTCGCTCTTGACGTCTTGCTCTTTCATTGTTATGTTGCTCCGATCGTACTTCAGGACCACATCCCAGACATAATTTCAAGCACCCAGACAAATACCGAAACAGTGTCGAACGAGTATCGCCTCCCTCCCAGGCCCCGACACATGATCACCCTCAAGTTTCGGTACTTTCTGGGTGCTCGAAATCAGTTGAACAAGGCTCAAATAGGCTGGCACATTACAATTCTATTTTCTGATGATGCTTTTGATCTTCGTTTTTTCCCAACCAGACAGGTTGGGGTTGTTAGATTTCCAGAACAGGCCGCCCCGCCCAATCCCACCCTGCATACCGCGGCCGCCAGACCCCAAGTCGTCCGATGATCCCCGAGAATGCCGGATGTCCCGCCTCATGCCTGGCCAACCCCACCCTGCATACCGCGGCCGCCAAACCCCAACTTGTCCCGATAATGCCCGAGAATCCCAGGTGTCCCGCCTCGCGCACTCGACGCGTACGACAGAACACAACATGGCCCAACAGAACATGACAGAACAGAACACGAGCTTGACAGAGCATGACAGAACAGAACATAGTAATGCCATGACAAAGTAGATAATAACGTAACAGCACATACCATACCAGAGCAGAACAAGATATATCAGAAGACGACATAGCACAACATACCAAACAAAGCTGATATTAGCATTACACTCCTGTACATAACGTATCATCCCATGTCACAGCATCACATAACATACCATACCACGACAGCACAGCATAGCGACAACGAGCACGATAGAACACAACATGACACAACATAACAACATACGAACATGACAGACCATGACAGAACCGAACATAGTCATACCATGCTTACATACATCATACCATAACATCACATACATACCAAAGCAAGACATGCCATATCATAATACGACAGACCCGTGCATACCATAGCACACCTTGACATAGCAAATCGTAAACTGGCACAACATCGCAAACCATATTATAACACTACAGCAAGACATAGCGACGACGAACGGGACATAACACAACATGACACAACATAACATGACAGAACAGATCACGAGCATTACAACACATGATACAACATAACATAGCAGAGCCAGAGCACAATATAACATAACATACATGGCATAACACACGACGACATGACGCAACATAAACTAACATAACCGAGCATGCCACACCATGCCTTGGCAACACATATCATTTCATGACACAACATCACCGAACTCATCATACCGCGACAACACATCTTTGCGACACGTACGAACACAACGTAGCAGACTATACTATACAGGGCCTGGCCGTCAACAAGCATAGCATCAGAGTACATACCAGAGCAGATCATGCCATAACAAACGACGACATAACACAGCATACCGTACCAGAACCGAGCATAACATCACACACCTTGACAGCACACACTATACCATGACACACATATCATAATACGACATCAGAGCATAGCGACGATGAGCGGGACAGACCACACCATTACACAACAGAGCATGCCATATAAGACACAGGGCGTGACACAACATGACAGAACATACCATAGCAATGCCATAACGAAAGAGGGCATACCAGAACATCACATACCATATCATACCATAACATGACATAACATATGACAACATGACACAACACAGCATAACATACCCGAGCATACCAGATTACACCTTGACAGGCCACATCATACCATGGTACAACATTGCAAATACATATGATACTACGACATGGGATCATAACGGCACACACACACACTAGCACATCATATCAGGATCTACCATACAGGAGCCGAGCCGTCAACAAACATACTACCACATAACATACTGACATAACACAGTATAACACAACATAGCCGAGCACAACAAAACAAATCAACAATGAACATATCATATCATATCATGACAGCATCACATAACATATCATGGCACGACACCAAGGCATAATGAACACACTAGCAGAGTAAATCAACTGTGCTATGCTGAGCCGAGCTGTCAACGACATCACTGAACATATCATGCTATGGTACCGCCTGGCATAACACATCATTGATACCATACGACCTCATAACATATCGTACCATTACAACTCAAACCATATGGCGACATATAGTAGCATCATGACATGCTCAAGCATAACATACACATATAAGTGACGAGGAACATCATAACACGCGACACATCGAACGTCACAAGCGTCACGACGTCACGCCGGCCCGTCGAGAACACAACAACACACAACGTATCATAAGATTAAAGAGCGTGATTACATGGAGCACGGCTCAACAATTCTTGGACCCCGACACGGCAACTGCCGACCGAGTAGGCGACCGTGCGCCGTGGGCAACAAACGCTTAAGGCCGCGGTGGTGATTGCTCGAAGCACAGCATCGTTTCTGACAAAAACAATATATATATATATACATAGATCGCTGTTTCTAGGGTCGAACCTTCCAACTACCCGCACAGTATAGCGCCCTCATGCACCCCCTCCCTCGCCTCGCCCGCGGGGCCGACTCTTGCAAACGCTCCATACCGCATCCCATACACAAGAATTCGAGTAGGGGATCGGCCACAGAACTGATTTACCCCAAACCTGCTTCCCCCCGCCAGATCTACGAGCAAACACTTACGTATACTGTACAGTAGATCGTTGCACATTCTACGCGTTTCCTGTATTCGGCGAGACAAACAATGTTGGAGCACATCAAGTCTGTAGTTGATCCCCTCTTCGAAGGATAAAAGATCGAAACCGGGCCCCACTGAGAGAGGTCAAACCAGGCCTTCCGAGGGGGGCCAACACAGCCAAACAGGAGACCCACCCCCCCGAACGAGATCAAAGAAGGCCTCGAAAGGGTCCAAGAAGGTCTCACAATGGCCTCAAGACGGCACAAGACGCCTCTCCAAGACGTCCCAAGACGGCTCCAGGAGGCCGCCCAACAGGCCCTCGAGAGGCACAACGCATTGATTGACCTCGAGTGTTGGGAAGATTGTAGCATCCTGGCCCTCTCGGGCTTCTGAAAGCCGAACAAAGACAAAAAAGGCTACCCAAAGCGGCCAAACACAGTCAAATATGTACGTAAAAGGTCCCCAAGAGGACTCCAACAGTCCAAGGCAGCTGAGGAGGGAAGCATCTCGGCCCAAGAAGGCCCCACGACGGCCAAAAAGGGGCCAAAGACTGCCAAACAGGGGCCACAGACTGCCCAAGAAACCCCCAATACGGCCCCAAGAAGGTCTCAAGATGGGTTGACCAAGGGGAACTTGAGCTGGCCTTGAAAGTCTGTTCCTCCATTATTGCCTGCAGGACCCCCAACATGCCTCAAGAGGCCTCCAACACGATCCCGAAAGACGGTGGCGGGGTTTGCCGCAGGCCGCGGTGTATAGTTACATGAGCTTATGATACTCTGGCGCGCTGTTGCCGCGTCGGCAGTTCGCAGTCCATGCCAGGGCGGACAGTCACCAATGCACTGCGCGTACATTTACAGTGGTCGAACTCCGATGACAGGACCTGCAGATACGAGGGGCAACGATAGGGGGGACTGGCATAAGGGGGGAAACATCGACCAGGAATCTGCGATACATCGCCGATAGATCGGCGATAGGCCCCCGATTGCCACTTTCCACGTTCCTGGGCGGGGTAAGACCATCGTGCCCATATCGACGATGAAGGGGCGATTGGGGGTCGATGAATTCCCCCCTATGCCTATCGTTAGGTCGGGCATGTCCTCCTACAGGCGGCGGTTGGGAGGAAATATGAACAAGAGTCAAACCATACTGAGCAATAGTCAAGGATAGTCGAAAAAACGTGCCCAGCCTAATTTTGGACTATGTTTGAATATTCCTCCTGTAGAGGTGCACGCCCGACTTAACCCCATTATTGCCCTGGCCCCCCGACATATTTTTTTCGCAGCGTCGACCCCAAAGAGTCTCGACCCCTTACCCGGGACGGGTTCTTCATCCCGAGTCGTTCTTTGACGCTTCCGAGGCCTGACAAGGGCCCCGAGAAGCCGAAACTAGCGAAAACCCGCCGGTCGTGATTTCTGCCATGACTCGAGGAGGAGGCCTAGGCCTAGATTCTCACTTCCCCTCCTGTCGTTGTCCCCGAAGATAATAAGGGAAAGAGACAAAAGGGCACAATCACAGACCTCCAGCGGTCCGCGCGGCTTTCTTGGCTCGGCGCTGGACCCCCCCTGCACCAGGCCCGGGGGCTCCAGCGCAACTCCAAGAGACCCGCGCGGAGCGCCGGCAGCTTGTCAAGACCAAGCCAGGACGAGGACAGCATCAGGCGAGGATAAATCGAGGATCTCTGACATCCGGCGGCTCTGGAGGACGTCTCGGGCGCCGCGGCCTTCTCGGAGCGGTCTGGAACGCTTTGAGAGCGTTCCGGAAAACTCTGGAACGGTTTGATCCTCGTCCTGGCCCCGTCTGGTTTATCAGGGGGCTTCAGCGCGGATCCGAGAAACCCGCGAGGAGCGCCAGTAGTTCACAGTCATCGTGCTACTCCAAGGTCGGGCATGTCCCCCTACAGACAGAGTTTTGACGAAACATGAGAAATACTCAGAACGTTGCCAAACATGATCCACAAATAATGTAAGCACCATCCTCAGACTATGTTTCGACTTGGGCGCCCGAATTATCCGGGGTAACTCGGGTCTGGGGTGTCGTGGGCTTGGATTCCCGAAAAACGAACCCGAGTTAGCCCTGACCCGAGTTACCCCTGATGATTTGGGGCTCTGGACGCCCGAGTTATCCAGGGTAACTCGGGCCCGGGGTAACTCGGGTTCGGAATCCCGAAAAGCGAACCCGAAATAGCCCTGACCCGAGTTACCCCTGATGATCCGGGGCTCTGATCGACTGTGTCTTGATCTTCATCCCGAAGAGGGGCACGCCCGACTCCATGCCACCATGAGGAACGCGTGCTACGGAACGAAGGAGCCTTGCCGGCCACGGCCGGCCTGGACCACAGACAGGTTCCACGTCGCAGATCTAAGGAACGGCCCGAACGGCCCATGAAAGGCTCCTCCTCCTCCTCCTCCTCTTCCTCCTCCTCCTCCTCCTCTTCCTCCTCCTCCTCTTCCTCCTCCCTCCACCCTTGAGCCCAGAGCGGTCCTTCTTTCAGCGTCTTGGCTGTATGTCCATGCCAATCTTCGTTCTTCGGCATTGGCTAAACTACATTCGCACATTTAGGACAGCGCACGAAGGGACCTACAGGTACACAGGAAGGTACGACATGCTCGTGTGATCATGCGGGAGGCACTTGGGCGGACCCAGCGTCGCAATGGGCATTCGAGACAGGAACCCCCACGGAGCTGTACAGCTCCGGTCTGGATGGGAGTCGGCTGCACTCGTCCCTGATCCACCACCGTACCTTCTGGCACGAGTTGGAGTGTCCTCAGGTCCTTGACCTAATCCCTCAAGCCTCAGTCCTCAATGCTGGGGATCCTTTAATTCAGGGGCCAAAGAGGCCACAGGGGGAAGCCCCCAATAGGCCCCTAAGACGCCCTAGAACTGCCCCCATGAGGCCTCAAAGCGGCCCCCAAGAGGCCCCCGAGAGGCCTCACGCAACATCTCAGCAAACGTCCTATAAGCCTATGGCCCACAAGCCTGGCACGGTGGCGGCATGGGCCGAAGGCCATCAGATAAGCTTGGACAGCTTCCGACTCGGCATGTCGGTGGCGTCCACGCCGCCGACCTTCGCCACCACCATGCCCCTCCGGATGCCCAGGCCTGCTGTTTTCCTGCACGTGACACACTTCACCCGCACGGGCGCCTGACTGAAGTCGAACTCGACCCCGATCGGGGCCGCGGAGAACCTCACCTGCAGCGCTCGGCTGCGGTCTTTCGTGGACGGCCAGAAGCAGATGTCCAGAGTCGGCAGCCCGTCGTCCGCCGGTACCTCCTCCGAGGCGGGCTCCGTCCAGGAGGCGGGCCACCGCGTCGCCCCGCGATCCTGCACGGGCTCCTTGAAAAACACTTGGCGGCGTGGCCACCTCTGGGGGTCCTCGTGTGCAGGCGAAGGCACGTCCGCTGACACAACGGTCGCCCGGGTGCTCGTGGAGGTCGCCTGGCTCGGCGTCCGCAGCCAGAGGTCCGCACGGCAGGCCTCGGGCGGGTTGCTGGGCGTGCTGACCGTATCGAGGACGCCAGAGACAGCCAAGGGCTTGCGCGGCGGCTCAACCAGCAGAAACTCATCCCAGGCCTCACAAGCGCACTGCTGCGTCGGCCCCGCCGAGGAGAGCCGATTCCAACAATCCCCCGCGACGCCCTCGACCGCGCCCGAGCCGCTGCCCGCGACAGTCGTGACGGTGATGTCCGCGTCCTGGACGAAGGTGCCACCTGCTGCCCGCCACCAAGTCCCGAGCATCTTGTCTGGCATCGCTCCTCTAGGAACGAAAAACTGCCCGTCACCGTGCCGCTGGGCACGGAGTGGGCGTGTCCTCAGGTCCTCTGCCCAATCCCCCGAGCCTCAGTCCCCACTTCTGAAGAGTCTTCAAGGGGCCCAGAACCAAAATTGCCAAATCCGCCAAGGCTTGCCGCATGGCCCCTGGGGTTCCCGATGTCTTCTCGCGTGACTTGTTCGGACCCAATAAGGTCCCACGACGGGCCACGACCGCCAAGAAGGTCCAAGAGAGCCCCGAGACGCCCAATGATCTCTCCAAGACGCCCGAAATGGGCCCAAGCCGGCCAGAGGCCTCCAAGACGCCCCAAGAGGTCTCAAAGAGACCTCCCAAGAGGACCCCAAGAGGCAAAACACTAAAACCCTTTCGTTTTTGAACCATCTTGGCATTCTCGTCTTTTCGGCTTGCCGACGCTCCAAGACGGCCAAGAGGCCCCCAACATTTTCCAAAGACGGCCCAAGAGGCCTCCAAGAGGGCCGCAAGACGGCCTACGAGCGCCCCAAGATGGCGAAGAGGCGCCCAAGATGGTCCAAGACGGCCTCACGACGGCCCCAAAAGGGGCCCAAGAAAGGGAACACGAACTGAAAATTTAAGCATTCCCCTGAGCGGAATGCTTGGACTTTCGGTCCTGGAGCCCCCCTATGAGGCCCGAAGAGGCGCCCAAGAGGCCAAAAGAGGTGCCCAAGAGGCCCCAAGAGGGCCCCAAGAGACCCGACAGAGGCCCCAAGAGTCCAAAACGGCCCCCAAGAGGCCTCAAAACTGCCTCCAAGAGGCCCCCGAGAGGCCTCCCACGAGATCCCAACGAACATCCAATAGGCTTTACACCCACAATCCAGGCAGGGTGGCGGGATGGGCCGAAGGCCATTCAGTCCGCCACCCCCTGTTGGCTTGCCAGAAGGGTGCTTGGCGTGCCAAACTTGAGGACATTTTTTTTTTTTTGTTAACTCACCCTGGGGCTTCGCCCCAGCGCGCCGGCCACTCAGAAGGCTCTTTCAGAGGTGGTTGCAAACGTTTTTCCCGCCCCAGATGGCTCCGAGACGGCCCACGATGGCCTCCAAGACGGCCAAGATGGCCCTCAAGTTCGCCCAAGATGGTCCAAGATGGGCTCCAAGACGGCCCAAGAGCGTCCAAGATGCCTCCAAGTTTGCCCAAGAAGCCTCCAATACGGCCCAAGATGGCCTCAAGATGACGACAGACGGCCCAAGAGGCTCCCAAGAGGTCTCCAAGACGGCCCAAGAGGTCTCCAAGAGGTCCTCCAGAAGGCTCGAATGATGCCCAAATTATTGATTGTCCTTAGGTTTTTGAAGGATTTCGGCATTTGCTTCTTTTCGGCCTTAGGGCGGCCCAAGACGGCCCAAGAGGGCCCCAAGATCGTCACAAGCTGGCCGCATGACAGAGCCCCAGAGGCAGCCCGAGATGGCCTCCAAGACGCCCACGGTGGCCTCCAAGACGGCCCTGAAGCGCCCGGAGAGGGCCCCAAGTTGGTTCAGAGAGACCCCCAAGACGGTTTCTGACGTCGTCAGACGGGCCAGGAACGCCCTAAGACGGCGAAAGAGGCTCCCCAAAAGCCCCCCCAAAGGCGCCCAAGAAGCCCAAGGAGGCCTCCAAGAGGCCTCCGAGGGGCCACCGCTCCCACAAAGCCCCAATAGTCCTGCTCCTCCTCCTCAACCTCCTCAGCCTCCTCCGCGTCCTCTTCTTCTTCCTCCTCCTCTTCCTCCTCATCCTCCTCTCAATGTGTCATCACTCAACTTCACTTTTGTTTTCCCCCCCCGCGTGTTCCCCGGAAGGTTTCCACAACGGCTGGGGAACACATGATCGGATAACCTCATTAAGCTATAACGAACCCCCCGGGGTTATCATTCAATAATGATTCAATAATTCAGGGGGGCGGTTTTCGCCGAACGATATAGTCAGCACCACGCAAATGAAAGAAAATAACACATCCCGCGCCCTGGCTCGGCTGATATCCCAATTGGACTTGGAATAATAACAAAACATAATGACATGCGAGCAATCAGAATAATACTAAGAATGCTAATAATAAGAATAATTAATAAGACAAGTCATAATAATAATGATAAGAATAAGAGTGATAGCAATGATCATAAGAGTAGTAATAAGAGTAATAATACCAATAATAACACTCATACTCTGAATAAGAAGACGGCTACTACTAATAATCTTACTAATAATAAGGAGTAATACTGCTCATAATCAGAATCATAATGATAACAACATGTTGTCTCATTCTTTTCACCATCCTTGTCCTGTACGATTTGTATTGCCACCCCTGTTGGCATTTTTTTTGTTCGGCCGTCGTGTGGGGTCGTGCATCCGAGGATATCGCCCCCGCCACGCACGGCGCGCTATCTTAGCACCGCACCCGCACACACTAATTACGACAGCTGGTGAAAAAAGACAAGAAGTACAATCAGAACAATACGAATACAACTAAGAAGAATACTACGAACAATCATAGTAACAATCAGAAACATAATGACGGTAACAATAAGAAAGAGGCTAGGAATAATAATACAGATAAGAATGATATTAATACTAGTAATAAGAGTAATACGTGTAATAACAATAAGAATCATAATCCTAGTTCATGATACTGATACGGAGAACAATATTAATCATAACCAGACTATGACTAATAATGATAGTACTTAGACTGACAATACTAACAGTAATGATATAACTAACAATAAAAATACAATAATAACAACAATGAAATAGTACGCGTCAAAATAATAATAACAATAGTAATAGTAAAAACAAGAACACTAATAACAACGACGATAATACTCATACTCCGAATACTAATGCTGATGAAAATGATAACTGTACTCAGACTACGAAAAAGAATGATAACACTGATCACACTAATAATAATACTAAGAATGATATCCATAATGTAATTCAGAACAAGCATAAGCAAAAGAGCTTGGCCTCATGATCTTCATCATCCTTGTCCTATACGATTTGTATTACCATCCCTGTTGAAACATTGTTTTTTCCCGGCCGTCGTATGGGGTAGTGCATCCGAGGATATCGCCCTCGCCACGCACGGTGCTTTATCTGAGCACCCGCACCGCCAAAATTATTCGCTCCCCATCGTAGGCACGGACGGTTTCTTTTCAAAGCTGGGCTCTCCCTTGCGTGGGACTTAATGTTGTTATTGTTGGTGTTGACGTTGTTGGTGTTTTTGATGTTCATGGTGTTGTTGGTGTTGTTATTGGCCTTGTTGTTCTAGATAGAAATCTTATTGCTGGCATCATTGTCGTTGTTCGTGTTGGTGCCGTGCCGTAAAGGAGTCTTGAGGAGGAGGATTTGTTCTGTTTAGCTTGGCCAAGGCCTCTTGACTGAGGCCTTGGCCCTCGGCTTGATCCGTAATGGCGAATAAGAGCCAACCTATTGCGAGAATGTCTCAGGCTGTGTGCTTGTTTCGGCGAGCAGACTCGTCTGCGTTCACAGAAAGGTGCGAGGTGCCAAGGTAACGTTTCTGGGGTGCCGGGTGCGTTATACTTTCGCAGGAGAGGGGGGGGGGTCTGAATTGCTTCTCCGGGTTAGTTTGGTAGAGCTCTGGCCACATCGATCGGCCATATGGGCGATTCCAAAAGGCAGGGGGCGGCGGTGATTCACAGTGGGCGTCTTTGATACAACTATACACTTTTGGATGTCCGCGTGGATTTATTGGATCCGCGCTGGACCACCCTCCCTGGCGCGAGGAGCGCGCCAAGGGCGGCGCCGCAGCATATCCAAGGAATCCGCGCGGATCGTCGAAAGTTTATGTTTATGCCATGTACTCTTATTCGATCCTTTGTGATTGGTATCGCTGAAGATGCAAGCCGAACGGCAAGAGAATCCGCTGGCCTCACTCTTGGCCCCGCCGATGTTCCAGGAACCGTCCACGCTCGAGAACAGCCACCTAACCCTATCGCTCTTCCACAGGGGCATCCCCTGTGGCTGCCAGCCGTCCACCAGGGTGTAGATCCCCTCGCACGCCGCCTGGCCGTTCGGGGACTGCACCCTGAGCGCGAGGGGCACTGCAGACGGCGGCGCTGGCGGGCCAGGCTGGCCCTCCTCGTGCGTGCCCCCGCTGCAGGCGCTGAGCAGCGACGCCGGCCGGCCGGGCCGGCCCGGGGTGGGCGCGACCCTGCAGCAGACGTCGCCCGTCGCGCTCGCCGTGCCGCCCATGGGGCTCGGGCTGCTCCTCGCATCTCCGAGCTGGAAGCTTGGGCCGAGCTAGCGGACCGCCCGCTGGCCCACGTGCGCGCCCTCAAGGCCAAGAAAGTGCATTCGTGCTTCCTCCAGGATAGGATCACCGAGCGGTTCGTCCTCGGCTCCGGCTGCGACCTGGTGTGGTCCTGTCGACTTCCGAGCCGCGTCCAACCCATCCGGTGGCGACGAGGGGGCCACATGTGTCCGTGAAGCCCGAGCCCAACTAGGAGGTACCAAGAACGGCTAGTGGAAGCGGCATGAAGCATCAAGCCAAGCGTCGCAAGGAAGCTGGAGATCATGTGACGAGACGGCAAGGGGACTCGAATCTGAAATCCTGCCAGTCCTCTGGGCTGAGTGGTCTCACGGAGTTCCCCGCCACAGCTCCTCCTTCCCCTGCTCGGGGGAGGAGTTCATCACTGTTCCTTATGAATACCCATCGGTCGGAAGAAGTAGGTAGAAACATAAAGTAGGAAGGCGTTGGAAATATATTGGGTTTCCGCCCCGCCTCCTGAAGAGGAGGGAAGAGGGAAAACCCCTCGACTCCTGAAGTAGGAAGGCGCTGAAAATAGATTCGAATCTGGGAATCCAAAAATACCTACTTTCAACGACCGATGGGTATACCCCCCCTCCACCACCTGGCCGGCGGCCAACCCGGAACCCTGCCGACTCCATGCGGGCCCGCCCCCCGCCACCACTGTCAAACATCAGCCTGACGAAGGGCCCAGCCGTTATGCGGCTGCGAGTGCCGCATTGTGGGCACCGCTCTCGGTGGAGCTCCCCATGGGGCCACGAAACTTGCAAGGGGTGCGCCGAAATCGGTGGCGCGGACGCATGTGGACACCGCCACTGGGGCTTTCGTTGGAGCACCCTATGGGGCCACGAAACGTTGTCCTGGGCGGGGGAAACGCAAGCGAACTGCGCCACTGCCGCCTTCGGTGGAGCTCCCTGTGGGGCCACGAAACGCTGTCTTGGGTGGGGGAGACGCATGCGAACGGCGCGGCGGACGGGGATGGTTTGCCAGGGGTCGGCGTGGGGAAAGAAAACGGCACCCATACCGCTGCTCCCTGGACCTCTCCCCGGGTGCGTTCTGACCAGGACTTCGAGGCGAATCCAGCGGTGGCGACGAGGAAACCTCAAGAGGCCCAAAAAGTCAAAACGAGGCAGGGGTAGCGGTATAGGCACAGTGGAGAACAGTCCACAAGAAACCTTCCACAAGAAAACCAACCCTGAGACCCCAGGGTTTCCATGGACTTTTGATGTGGGAGCGTCACGCTTTCCATCGCAGAACCATCGGAACCCAAGAAACCCAGGGCACCCTGGAGCCAAGCAGGGTGCTTAATGGCATGGGCCTCCGCTGTAGCCTTTCCTCCTCTGAAGGTTAGGCCGCCCCTGACCCTATCGTTGCTTCTGAATGGGGGAGGAGGAGGAGGAGGAGGAGGAGGAGGAGGAGGAGGAGGAGGAGGAGGTTCGGCGAGGTTCGGCGATGACGACGATTCACGCAGGCAAACTGGGTGAAAAGCCAATACAACAACAATAAAGTTAATAGAATCTATGGTGCGAGACAGCGTAGCAACGAAGTGCTCTAGGCGGCCCACCCTTTCGGCCAGGGCGGCCAAAACAGCAACGCTGCGCGCACCGCAGCCGCTATTAGTAGCTGCGGCAAATGCCCAAAGCCTCAGCGGCGTACTGGCGTGGGTCGCCCGCTGTTGGCGAGCCGCTCCCCGTTGGGGCCCTTGCCCTGTAACAGGTAGCGGCGTTTGTAGAATCGGCTAGTGCCAGGTACAGGTAGTCCTATACATGGCTTAGCGATTAGATGCGCGCGCGTCTCGCATCGCGCAGCGCATTGGGCACAGAAAACAAGAGGCCCGTTGCGCCATAGTCTATGGGAACTATGGGCAACATGCACTCCCATCGGAAGCCCCTGACGCGGTTGTGCCAAGAGGCCTCTGCGCGTGTGTCGATTTCTACCGCAGGTGTCGCAGTAGTATTTCATGCCGCGCTTTATTATAGTGTGCCCTCTCGTGTCAATCTGCAGTGGTCTTGCACGAGTGGGCCCTTCATAGGGAACCGGGTCAGCGTCGGCGAAGTCGCACCTCGCGCAGCGCCTGAGTATCCTCAGGGCCATGCGCAGTGTGAAAACGGCAGAGCACTCTCTTGCGTGGCGAAGCGCTTCGGCATACCCATTTTTGGGATGCATCAAAGCGCCCTGTTTGGCAAACTCGTCAGCTGCTTGATTGCCCAACCACATCGCCAGAGGTATCGCATCACGAATTCTCTGACTATCGCTGCGGTGGCTGGGTATCCAGATCACATCAATGCCCTCACGCCCAACGTCGTGCACCAGGCGCCAGAATTCACGCCAGAGTTCCACAAGGTGATTTCGAACGTGAGCACCTGAACCATCGCCACGATCCCATGCTTTCTTGAGTTCCAGGTAGTCGGTGACTATGACGATGTTTCTCGGCCCCTTGTGTCGGAGCGCTATGATCGCTGCCCACAGTTCGCCTGCCCCCGAGCACGTCCATGGGAAACGTACTGGGCCATATGCAGCCCCTAGCACGCCGCCCCGATCATCGATCATGACGGCTGCCCAGCCAGCACGCGCCAGAAGAGGATGGTGAGCTTGCTTCCCCGATCCGTCAGTGCACACCAGCCATTCGAACCCTCCATTGGGCGGTTCGCGGAACCAGACAACACGGTCATACTGATGTGGAGGTGGGAAGCCGCACTTCGGGTCGTATGCTGGGTCAGGGAAGAGGCCCTTGCACGTAATGTACGTCATGGGGTGGTTGTCACCGTGCTCCACGCGCCCTTGTGCAAGTAGCCTGCGTTCATCACCGCACCAATCTTGCCTTTCTGCTGCATGATAAAGACAACGATATAAGCGATGTGACGGGGTACCTTCTTCATGTTTACATAAGGCACACATGGGATTTGGTGCCGCCCCATGTCGGAAGAGGCGATCCTGCGTCCAAAACCCTCCTGCAACCCATGTCCGAATCAAACCCGCACCTAGGTAATCTTCTTTTTCCCTGAGCTCTTTCACCAATTTGGCAGCGGGTTCAAGTAGAGGTACTCCCTCGAAACCTTCCAGTCGGCACTCGCTTAAGATCTTTGCAGTAGTGGCTTGGTCCACCAACTTCCTCAGCGTGTGAACCCCGATCTCATGCAAGTCTATGGGCAGACCTTGGGGTGAGACAGACTGCATCGCAGTCTGCCTCGAACCCTGTGCTGTTATAAGGCTGGCCATATTACTGGGTATGTACCATTTGTCCCAACTGATGGCTTCCCACCCCAGCCGCTTAAGAGTGAGTAGTGCGGCTCCAGCTGGTCCAAGTACTGCTCCCCAGTTGGCCGGCCTGCTCACCGCGTAGCTGCGGGCCATCTTCATCTGGTTTGGAGTGGCCCATCCAAGCCATAATGCTTTCAGCCATGTAACCAGAGGCAGCGCGTTGGCGTCATAGGTCGGGTCGCACTTCGGGTCGTCAGACAACATAAACTCGACTGTCCGAGATCGCCCACGAGGTGGCCCGAAGATGGCAAAGGCAGCGGTGGCTCGAAGACTAGCAAGTTGCGCATCAGGAACGCCATGCACACGCATCCCATATGTAACAGCTGGTAGTCCTCCAGCTCTGTAAAGCCGACACACTGATCGTCCTCCACACGCGAGCCTGCGAAAGCGTGTAATGCGAACTTTCATTTTAAAGGCCCGTTTGCTTTGAACAGGCCTTCCAGCTCTCATCATGCGTCTGTCAACACCGAGCTGCTTGACGATCCGTTTGGGCTGAAAACGATAAGATGAAAGCTGCACCGCAATCTGCCTGGCAATTTTATCGTGGCTAGCAACTACTTGACCTTTGTCCAGGCTAACTTTCATTCTACGCTGCTTGAATTGTTCGCAAGCAAACTGAGCTGCCTGAGTTACAGTTTTGACTACGTCCTTTGTTTGTCCTCCAGCCTGCACGGTGGAGTCGTCGACTACCACCGAGAGGTCGATACTAGGCCATAGGTAATACATTCTGTCATATATGTCCATGGTAAAGCATTTCATGACGCTTACAGCGAAACCACAGCCTGCAATCACTCCTCGGTTGGTCATGATAACATTGCTCATGTAGGATCCAAATTTGATGGACCTTCTACCCCCATAACAGTGTAACAGCATGGCCATTCTACGTCGTGGGAATCCGTGACGCACAGCAGAGTCCCAGAGAAGGTCATGATCGATGGTCTCGAACGCTTTGGCCAAGTCTATTAGGACCGCTGCTGTGTGCTTACCCATGGACTTTGTGGTCTCCACTATCAGGGCTTGCCTCCAAACTGCTTGTTCCGTGCTGCGGCCAGCACTGGCATATTCATAATGTCTCTTATGCCCTGCATTCCATCTGTCCTGTTGTGGCTTACGGGCTTTATTGTATACGCGCAGCGCGTCGGGGAGCAAGCCTATCAGGCGATGCCCCCCGTCGGGCTTGGGTAACTGAGGCAACAGAGTGTTACGTAAATGCTCAGGCAACTTGCCGAGGCATTCCGCTTGATGCATCACTTCAGCAAATGCCGTGAGGCACTCATCCGAAAGCATCGCCATCGAACGAGGCCGTATTCGGTCAGTGCCCGAGGCAGCTTTGCAGCTGAATGTTCTGGCAGCAACCCTGACATCCTGAGGAGTAAGCTTTGGTGGAGGCTCCTCATCGCCGAAGTCGTGTATCTTTTCGCAGAAGGAAGCAGCACCATCAGTATGCTCCCAAACCTGCTTCCAGACATCTAGATTTTCTTGGAGCCTCTGTGCGTGAGCAACTACACCTCGTCCTTGATGCTCTGCGCGTGCAGGCACCCAAGTTTGCGGCGCCTTACTCCAAGCGTGCGCCTTGGCGGTGGTGTTTTGGACTTGCGTCTGTACCTCGCGTTTCCAAAGGGTGAGTCGCTTCTTGGCACACTTGATTTCGATGCTGGTTGCTTCTTCTGCCGCAGCCCAGCTCATGTCTCGCAGCCAGTCTTCGCATAGGCACCATTCCGCCGTAGCGCGCAT